GTAAATACCCCTGCAAGCAAAACAAATCGAGAATCCTTAAAAGGGAAGCTATGAATCTGCACAGTCGAGCTATGAATTTGCACGATCAATCGAGAATCCTTCAAAGTTCACGGCTTTGAGGTTCAACCAAATGTGCATACACAAAGAGGCCCCATAATGACTGATAAAGACTATGAAACTTACCAGGAGCTGCTTGTGAAACATTGGCAATTGGGGGTTGGCTCTGTTGTACGCCCTGCAGTCAAGGCAGTACGTGGAGTAACGAAATAACCGCTTTTCCTACAAAATACAACAAAAATTTGAAACCAACTAAATTCAGTTACACAAATCATTACCAACTTCTTCTAACCTATTTCGACTCAAAAACTCAACCATTGCCCATATCTCCTCCACTTGTTCATGTGACCTATCTCCACAGACAAAGCCATGAAAAACTCCTTTAACTTCCAAACAGCTCCAACCAGGACTCTTATTCAGATTCATCTCTTTCATAACACTTCTAACTTGTTGTACCTCATCCCATTTTTCGGAACCGGCTTGTACGTTGCTAATCAAACTGTAATACCCGGGATTATCCCTTTCGAGCTCTAGAACCTTCCGTGCAGCATAACCTCCGATTTTCCAGTCATTATGAACCCTAGCAGCCGACAAAAGCGCCGACCAGATTTTACTGTCCGGCAAAATCACTCGCCTCAAAATAACCGACAAACCCTCTTTGATCTTTCCCGACCGGCCTAACAAATCCACGATGCAAGTGTAATGATCTAAATCGGGCTCGATATTGAATTCGGTTTTCATGGTGTTCAAAGCTCTGCAGCCTTCTTGTAGAAGGCCCGAATGGCTGCAAGCGGATAATAAGCTCAAGAAGGTGATACTGTTTGGTTTTATTTTTTCGGAAATCATTCGACTGAAAATCTCGAGTGCTTCCGAACCTAATCCGTGTGTTCCGTAGCCTTCAATCATCGATGACCATGCCACGAGATCTTTTACGAGCATTTTATCGAAACATGTCCTTGCAGAAGAAATATCTCCACACTTGACATATATGTTGAGAAACGATGTCTCTAACGATTGGACACTATTCTCGTCAGGGGCAAATGCGTAATTTCTAATGAAGTACCCATGAACAGCTTTGCCTAACCGTAGAGAACCCGAGTGCGTACACGCGACAAGAAAGCTTCTCATATTCTCAGTCTCGGGCTTAACGTTTGAAGCTAACATTTGCTTGAACAAACGAATAGCCTCTTCGAAATACCCAGAATTTGCATACAAGTCCAACAAACAACTCACTAGAACATCATCAAAAACCCCACTTTTAAGAGAAAGAGAATGTATCTGTGTGGCTAGGCTGTGAATGTGATTTTCACACCAACCAAGCCCTGAAGTAATCAGTGTAAATGTTTCGATACTTGGGTTTACTTCACATCTCATTTTATTCAAACAATCTATTATTTTCTCTGGGCTTCTTTTCGAAGAATATAAGTGAATCATGGTATTCCAAGTAATGACATCCCGTATATCGGTTTCTTCGAATAGAGTTTCGAAATCACCCACACTACCAAAACCAGCAAATATTTTCAAGATTGAATTTTTTAAAGAAAGATCAACCAACGATCCGGATTTGATCACATACCCATGAATCTGCCTCACTTCAAACACAGAACAGCACATTTGCACCATCACAATCAAAGTCACCTCATTAGGCTCGACCTCCTTTCGCATTTTGCTAAATAGTCCAAATGCCCCATTTGCATTCCCTTCAAAAACGCACCCCGAAATCATCGATGTCCAAGAAACCAAATCTCTGCAAGGCATTTCATCGAACACGTTCAAAGCATTTCGAAAACACCCTACTTTCACATAAGCATCGATCATCGTGTTACAGAAGTATATATCATATTGAAAACCGGTTTTCACCGCCACACAATGAATCATTTCCGCAAAACCGGCACACCCACATTCGAGTAACACCACCAGTTTAGTCAATATAGGAAATGTATAGCCATCACATGAAACACCCATTCTCCTCATGAGCTTAAACACAAAAACAGCCGACTCACTGAGCCCTGAATTCACATGGGCCTTAATCACTGAGTTCCAAACAAAGCTGTTAGCGTCTCCCATAGCTTTCAGTACTGATATAGAGCTGCGAAAGTCATTAAACAGAATGTATAAAGACGACAACTTTGAAGAAACTCCAAAAACCCCTTCTTGCACGTTTGAAGTTAGGATCAAAGCATGTGTTTGCTTCAGCATTTTAAGGCTCCGACAAGAGTTTAGTACTGACAAGACAGAAGAAGAAAAGGGGTGTACTGATGAATCGTGGTATCTACGAGATTTCAAGTGATAGGGATTGAGAAATCGAAAACATGGACTAAGGGTACATGAAAAAGCGTAAATCGACAGCCAGCCATTGAAACGAAGTGAAGGAATGTTTGTAATCTGATGAAGAAAAAAAGGACAAAAAAAAAAAAAAAAAAAAAGGTTTCGTGAAAGAGTAATTGAGATGATTTCAATCTCGATTGCCTGCTCTCTTTACTTCGTGAAAGAGTTTGTGTATGCTGATCTATTGGTGAAAAACATAGTTAATGCATTGTAGTCACCGATAAGGTCAAATCTAGAAACTAGAGTGTTATAGAGTCGAATCTTTCACTGATTTTTAATGTTGAATCAACACATACTTGTGTGGGTGTGTGTATTAAATTAACGATGAAATATCCAGTGAAGTCACTTGTAAGATCTGGTTACTATATTACAAAGCTACATATAGGGTTGAAGTTTCATTGATTTTACTGTTAGATCAACATATACCTGTGTGAATTTGTGTGTGTTGATCTAGAGATGAAAAACTTAGTTAATGTAGTGTAGTCATCGGTAAGGTCGAATCTGAAAAATACAGAGTGCAGTCATCGATAGAGTCGAATCTTTCACTGATTTTCACCGTTGGATTAGCGCATACTGGAGTGGTTATATGTGTGTATTGGTGTAACGTTGAAATATCCAATTACTGCATTGAAGTCACCAGTAAGGTCCAGTTACTACATTGGTCATCGATAAGGTTGAATTTTCATTCATTTTCACCATTAGATCAATATATGCTTGTGTTAATTTGTGTGTATTGATAATAAAGAATTTTCATTCATTTTCACTATTAGATCAATATATGCTTATGTTAATTTGTGTGTGTTGAACTAATAGTGAAAAACTCATTTATTGTAGTAGTCACCTATAAGGTCGAATCTGAAAAAATATAGTGCAGTCACCGGTAGGATCGATCTTGCATTAATTTTCACCGTCGAATCAACACATAGTGGTTTGGCTATGCCAATTACCGCAGTGAAGTCACCTGTAAGGTCCGATTACTACATTACAGTCATTAATAAAGTTGAATTTTCACTGATTTTCACCGTAGGATGAACATAACATGTGTGAATTTGTGTGTTTTGATATAATACTGAAAAAAAACTCAGTTGTAACCTTGTAGTGTAGTCACCGGTAAGATCGAATCTGAAAATTATAGTGCAGTCACCGATAAAGTCGAATCATTCACTAGTTTTCACCATTGGATCAACACATACTTATGTGGGTATGTGTATGTATTGATCTAATGATGAAATATCCAATTACTACAGTGAAGTCACCAATAAGGTCAAATCTTCCGCACAACACCTTTGAAGTTTGAATATCCAATTACTACAGTGCAGTCACCAGTAAGGTCAAATCTTCCGCACAACACCTTTGAAGTTTGGATACCATCTTGCTTGAAAAGAAACAAAGAAAATGATACTTACTGTTTATACAACACCTTTGAAGTTTGGATACCATCTTGCTTGAAAAGAAACAAAGAAAATGATACTTACTGTTTATACTTTGCAAATTGCAGGTTATTTTTAAATTGTTGTAGCATAAGAAGTTTTAGGGGAGGTTTTTGTAATCACGTTAACAAAATCTGAGTACACCAAACTATATATCAATATATCATTATAACTCAACACATGCAGAATATTAACACCATAAATTTGTGCTTCAATATCAAGAAAGAGAATATTAGTGGGGGATTCCAGGCCTTACATAATTTTCTTCACAGCCTTGGTACAGTACTGAAACTTTTGAGAATCTTTTACAGGAAAAATATTGTTACCATCCCTTGTTCCTAAATTGTGTGTATTATCCAAACACCCGAGACAATTAAAAAAAAAAACAAATGCCCATCAGCAACACGAAACTCCCGAGTCCTCGACCTTTTTCTCTTAGCGTTTTCTTTCCTGCCGCCACTTGTACACAGGTCTAGAGACTGGAGAAACAATTTCATTTTCACGAAGCTTGCGCTTTCGGCCCTTTTTCTGTAGCAAACAGGAAAAGCAAAAAACCATGTTATTTTTACATAATTGTTTCACTTCACCACCAAAAGATCACCACAAGTGCTAAAGTTACAAGCTTTGGTTTTTAAATATTGGTACCTGCAATTCTTTCTGCATAGACATATCCATGTGGATTTTCTCTAGCTCCTTCACTCTGTTTTTCCTAACTTCCAGCTCCCGGTAGGATGCAGCCATTTTTCTGCACAATAAATCACATTTAGGCAGTCATTTCGTACTTCACCCAGTCATCAATCTTTACAAATCTGTTAGTTTTCTGACCGAGAGATGAATATTACACACGTTTACTAAGATCGTCGACAATTAGCATTTATTTTGAATCAGACAATCAGAGATATTGAAGCAGCATTACTATTTAAATTGACCAAATAAAAACTTCTGTTGTGAGTTGTGACATTTTTCTGCCTCGAATCCTTTGGGGATGCTTGGATAAAAAAAATTTCAAAAAAAATCTAATCATTTTTAACAATTGCCTTTTTTAACTCAAATCTAACTCAACTATAATCCAACTCCATTACCCTCAATATTATCAATATGATTAAATAATATCACTCAACCATTCTTATACATTACATAAACTTTAATTTACTATCATTCACTCACATAAATTTAACTAACCAGTAACCATCACTTCACATCAGCTCTACCCTACTTTTGCATCAAATCAACTTAAATTATTTTATTTAAATATTATTTAATCAAAATCCCACTAACAACTAACCATACCATTTTTTTTCAAAATTAACCATCCCAAACCAAAAAATCCAAACAATACACAAAAAATATTATATCTAAGCATCCCCTTAGTGATTACAATCATTGATGATAAACGAGTTGTTCGCAAAAGAAGGTGAAAATCATAGAGCTACTTTCATTACCTTTGGATATCCTTAGGCAAGTCCTTCAAAGAAGGGTTTCCTCGATTTTCCTGAACCTTAGATTGTAGTTCTCTGGCTTCATCCCTAAAAGTAGAAGGTAAAATTTTGATCGTTGATTTACCAAAAATTAAACTTTCACCTTCAGTTATCTGATGCATTCTTACATTTAAACCAAAAAAAAGAAAATCTATCCGCAAAAATAGCAAGAAAAGGATATAAAGGCCTAACCACCGACCTGTCTTCAGCATAATAAACATGTTTGCTTAACGAGCTGTTGTCAAGGCAATGCAGCATCCCACTTAGCTTCTCTACTTTCTGCATCAAAATATGAAAAATTAATAACATATTTCTTTCTTACAGCTGCCAAATATTTGTGGATGTGAAAAAAATTACCAACCTTTTTTTCGGCCTGAAGTTTCTGAAAAATGTACCCAATGTCTTGAGTCTTCATCAACATGAGCTCTTCCTTAGTATACTTGTTTGCTTCACTCCTCCATAATTTTTCAACAAATCAAACTAAACAGTGTTAATGACCTTTTCCATGATTGCACTAGAACTAAGTTTCAAATCAAATGAAAACTATCTATCTTACTCCAATCTGTGGACTCCATTAACCATTTTTGTTTTAACCATCTTGAAGTAAAACTCATCTGGGTTCCTAAAGGCGGCTTTTTCTTTAAGTTTCTGCAAAGAGCATATACAATCAATACGATTATCACCTCCAAATATTGTTCAAGCTCCATTTTTGGGATAACTAATGAAATTAACACAGTGCAGGGCTACAAAGGGCACCTGGATAGCCTGCTCCTTTTGGTGGTAAGCTCTCGCACGCTCGACATAATCCTTATGCTTTTCGAGCAGCCCAAATCTTCTTCTTGAATGTCTTCGTAAGCAAGAAAGCATCAAGTCAATAGAAGGACCAAAAAAGAACAAGACAACGAAAAACAATATAGTAGAAACCAAGAAGCACTAAACAGCTTAGAACTCAATTTTTTTTTCATAAGGGGAAAAAGAAAAACTCACGGCTGGGCACGTTCCTTGTGAGCCCTTCTCGGGATGGCATTCCTTAAAGACGACATTTTTATGCACCTAATGCAAAGGCTTATCAATGAATTTAACGAAAAAATCATTAAACAAGCAACCCATTAAAAATAATTCTCCAAAAGCAGCTCTGATTGAGTGTTATACGGGTGAAACAATAGAGCTTACCGTCACTGTTGATTAAACAGTAAAACATGAGAAGAAAGAAGCGAAAAAAACTAGATCAAACGGTTAAGTATCGTACTAACAGAAATAATTGTCCAGGATAGAAGCTTTAGCAGGATCCAAGGTTGATCAGCTAGAGCTTGACGCGGCGCCGCCGCCGATGATTTTGTAGATGGAGGTGGGATCGAGTTTCTGCATAGCGATGTATTTCTTCATAAGGTACTGGGCTTTCTTGTTCCAACTAGAGGAGTTAGTAAGGATCAGGCCCAATATCATACAGGCTAACAGATCATGGGCCTAAATGTACGTTAAAAAATAATAATAAGCCCATAATGAGCAAATTGATGGCGCATGTCCAGTAAGCATGAAAAAAAAAAATCTTAAATGTGATTGCTACTGATAAATATTGATTATAATATACACATTTCTCAAGCCTAACAAATATATATTGGTTATAACATTTCCATCTCATGTTTAATTAAAATTTTCAGCCCAAATTAATAATGTTGGTTGAACTAACTACACAACCATATTTCCTAGTTTCCCACGCGATTTCATGTAATGTACCGAATCACCCATGAAAAAGAGAGTCCATCGCATGCTCGTTTAGTAAATGAGCCCGCTCGGCTAGTATACAAACTCAAAATCGTAAATGTGTTGTTTGCGAACACAGTTTGCACGTTCACGAACATTCTTGGCGCTAGCGAAATTATTTAAAATAAAAAAAAATCGCGAACAAGCTCAATCCATCTCTTTCAATAATACGAGTTTGATTAGTTGTATGAGCTTCATTTGTTTAAGTGAACTTGATCAAATCATTTCTGTTTATATTGTTTGTGTGAGGCAGTTTATTCGTTAGTTAGATCGAGCCGTTATATTTTTTTAACGAAAATGCATACTTATGTTATGTCATACTTTTGTTCTGCTTATGTTTTCTTTTTACAGTATGACATTTCATTGTGAGAGTATACATACTATTTTCTAAAAATTAAGTCCAAATATGAGTTCCAAATGAGCCATTTGTTTTTGTCAAAAAACATGTGTTAGTGGAATAGTGGTGGCGCCCATGTTATATCAATAGTCCAAATAAATCCAAGCAAACAAAGAAAGAAAAAACACACAATCAACGCTCCACGCCAAACCGCCATTGTCAATCTCATAAAGTTTTTGGCAGCCCAATACTCACCAAACGCGTCAATAAATTATCGGAAATGTTCCCCTACCCACGGTAGACACATTTTAATATGTCCACCATTTAACATCACCATAAGCGTTGAGCATATTAACATATGCTTACCGTTGGTAGAAGAGCATTTCCCAATAAATTATTCAAGATTTTATTGTAAGGTATTGAGATGACAATTTTGGAAAATTCATACTCCCAAAGAGTTATTATGTTGTGTTATATTGATAAGCAAAGCAAAAATTCCCCTATATATTAATCCAGAACGCGCTGAGTCTACGTGACTGCTTCTGGTGCTTTAGACTCCTATGTGGCACATGATTCGTTATTAAGCTTGGGTAAATTTTAATTTAATTTCAAACAAAAAATAGTTAGTTTCGAATTACCATAAATATGTTAATTATTTATGGTTATGTTACATGAATTAATTGCATTTTAATATCATTCCTTATTATAACTATTGAATTGTCTATATATTTTAATAGTTAATAACTTTTGTATTTTTTATCAGTTTTACATATGTAATATATCAAATTAATCTTATTTTGATGAGTTTCGATTTAACGTCCATATTGTATGTATAATAAAAATGATTTATATTTATCTTTAATTAGAAAAATAAAATCATTTATCAACAAATATATTTATATTTTAAGTAGTTATATGATATCCTCTCTATATATAATTCCCGAATGCGTTGAGCCTACGTGGCTGCTTTTGGTGCTTCGGAATCCTACTTAGCGAATAATCATGCTTCGTAATTAGGTTTGGACAAATAATATTGATATATTAATAATTAATAATCTAGGTTCGGACATTCCGTAAATATTATTTAGCTAACTTGGGTATTTTAATATCACTTGTACTAATATAACCCTTTAATTCTTTGTAATTTTACATAGTGAGACACTAAGTGACTAATATATCCATGACTTTTTTGATTTGTTTCCTTCAATTAGCTATTCAATTGTAAATGTATTTTAAAAGTTGATAACTTTTGTATTTTTTATCGGTTTTACATATAAAATATATCAAATTAATCATTTTTTGATGATCTTCGATTTGACATTTATATTGTATATATGAAATAAATAAATTATATTTATCTTTATAATAATTAAAATAACAATATTTATTAAAATTCATTAAAAAAATAAAATTATTTATCAATTGATATATTTATGTTTAATGTAGTTATATGTTGTAAGTTAAAAAAATTATTTTAATATGACACATGTAAGTTGCAAAAATCATACTAAATATATCATAATATATATAT